AACCAATTTGTTTTTTTTTCAATAGCCTTACCTAGAACCCAGCTGAATCTATCGTTTGTGATGTCTCCCGGCAACTGAATGTACTGCACCAGTCGCTGCGTTATTCGAGATATCGCTAATTTCGTGTAATTTGGTTTCAAGTAGAACATAAGGTTGACGGAAACTCGAGGAGTGCGGCTACCTGATGAGCCCAAAGAAGGGCGAAACCGGTCGTGGGCTGTCAGAGTTTTCAGTAACCTTGTGAGTAATTTCCTTTGTGAAAATATACTGCGATATCTCGAATATCGTGCCAACTGAAACATGAGACGGCCTTGTGCAGCACACTCAGTTACCTGGAAACATCACAAACGACAGATTCAGCTGGGTTCCAGGTGAGTCTCTCGCAAAACCAAATTAGTTTGCAAATGAGTGTATTTCGCTAAAAGCACAAGCTCCTCAACGACATGAGATATCTTGCCCCGTTCCCCGCAGGTGGTCCATGTTTGGAAAGATAACTACCCTCTCACTCTAGGGTGCAAAAGTAGTTTGCGTGCCAGCAACGGGTGGGTGGCCACATGATGTGCCTTTCAAACTTCGAGCCAATTCTTCTCGGTCTCATTTAAAAATGCCCTGGGATGCACTCTGTTGCCAAAGGCTACTCACGGACAGACCAATAACGAGTGGAAAATCCTTTTGACATAAAAGCACAACTCATGTAACGCAGCTGGTGGTGAAGTGCTGGAATCTTCTACTGGCGAAGGCAATGACTCTGCAACTACATCACCAGTCGTGGGCGAGAATCTCTCTCGAACGATTTTACCGGTTACACAAACATCCGCGTGCTGAAACGTTTTCGGGAAAATTCGCGTGGTAAACACTGGATACAAAGTTTGGACATATGAACACAACGAAGTTCTCAGCTACCCCGCGAAATCTGTACAATAATAATCGACGGCAGGTTAATTCCCGTTATTGTGTTATTTGTACTGAGGTAAGTTATAGGTTGAATAAAGCAATTTCGAACATCAATCTGAATTGAAGACCGGCTGTGGAATACGCACGGAATTTCCACTCCAAATACGAGGCTTACATTCGCACATATTGATTCGTGAATGAATGGCTGATCCTGAGTGGATGGATGGTACACAGGGCTCAATATGGGACGCAGGAGAATATTTCTCCGATTCTCAATTTAATCCTTTTTTTGAATCGTATCCTAAATACTGGTTAAGATTTAGGAAAGTAAAAACTATACTTGAAAGTTCACTGAAGGTTCGTATGAAAATCTGAATAATTATCTGCATGAACTGAAGCCTAAGAAACTACGCAACATGCCAGTTAATCTCCAAGATTTTCATCAATGAGCAAAAAATGTCGTACCAATGCCTTCGCGTGATTGACTACCCGAGTTTGGAAAAGTAGCTAAATAGTCGTACTTCAATACGGATAAATCGTGAAAAAACGGCCTCTTTTCTATTTGTGAATCCATGTCTTTATTTAGCGACATTTGAGTAAACCGTATACTACCGTATACTGTAGATACAGGGTCACGAAAAAGAGCACCTAAATTCCACCGCATACTATTGGAGACTAAAATACCTCCAACGCTAACTAGTAAGGACCTTATGATCAGCCTGACTACAGCATTCTGGACAAATCCAGTCATTGCATGCGGTGGGTAGATCTTTCAGTAGGCGGTGACTGGATGGCCCAGTGGATAGAGCGCAAATTTATTAACCGGAAGGTTCGTGGTTCGAATCCGACCTCTATTTTTCGACTTCCGCTGCCTAGGCTTGGGCAACCTGGAAGTATCCCAGCCCTCGCGCTTCCTTCTCTTGCCATACCAGTTATGCTACAACTAACAATTCGATTTTTCGATTTCTTTTACTTGCATTTTGAAGATGCTAGTGGGGAACTACCTGAGATGATCTGTAAGCAATTTGAAACCGCTCAATCCAATCGTTCATTAGATCCGGGACAGGCTTTGAACGTTTATTTGTCGGTTTAATGAAAATGTAGAACTCCAGCCATTAGTTTCATAACCATGCGTTAACTGAGCCTCTGTACAACTAGTGTCCATGGGCGGATGTTTCACACCGTATTATGGAGATAGGGCAAGCGTGCATTGTGAGTGGATAGACCACCGCACTAACCTTAGCATGGTTAGGTTGCGAATACGAACTGTCGCCGATTGATCAGAACGGGAACTTGTGGTCATTTCAAGAGTTTGAAAACAACCAGCACAAAGTGAACTTTTGGTTGCTCTTACCAGGTTAAGCCCATTACCGTTCCCACATTGGTGGCCAAGATATTATTGTGCAACTACTAGTCATAGGAGCATTGAGCCTTTCATATTGAACCACACAAGTCCTGAAAAATCCATGATCAGCGGAAAACAGCCAAGCCATACTGTGAGCCCAACTGGAGTGAAAAGCGCTGTAGGGTACAAAACAACAAATGATGCTTCGAAAGTGGCAGTAATCGGCTAGTCGAACAGCGATTAAGGCTGACAGGGATCATGGAGCACTGGTCAGTATTCGTACAGCAGGATTCTAGTGTTCGTTTGTACTAGCGCCAACGCAATCCGAAAAAAAATTTGATGTGCGCATCTGAACAAAATCGCTTTAGTTTCCGGAAAAGTTTGGTGGAGATAGGTAGATTTATTGCCACGCAACGCTTCACTTTGGACACAATAGCTTCGTCAGGTCAAATGACTGACAAGGTTGGAGGCAACTAAGAGGTTGTTAGTGACAGACACGACACTCAGGGACACAGCACTCGGTGGATGAAATAGTTGAGGGTATAAGAGTGTGTTTGAATCTCGATCAGTTTGTTTTTGACACAACTGCTTACTCACAAGAACAAGGATCTCCAATATCCCCAGTTTTATATGGAGGGCTTCCAACAAAAATAACCTTGACCAGATATCATTGTCCACCGGAAGTCTTTTGGCGGTATGTTGACGGTACCCTTATTGTAATTAAGCGTGATAACGTGAACAGCTTCCACGACTACCTCAATAGTTTAAATACATTAAGTTTAGCATGAAGATAGAGTCCACCTCGGGCAAAATTACCCTTCCTGGACCGTATAACACATTAGTGGTGGAGAATTGAAAAACAACTATCTACCAAGGACCCACAGACACAAGAACCGTCTTAAACTACTCATCAGCACACCCGAGTTCTGTGTACGCCAATACTGTCTCATTGATGTTTAGTCGAGTCAGAGCGCTGTGCACAGAAGAGAGTGACCGAACAGCAGCCAACAGGCATCAAAAAATTGGATACCCGATGAGTTTGATGAGGCAGCAATTAAGGACATTGATTCCGGTATCTAGATCCAGTAAGAAATGGATTAGCACAGCAGTCATTCCATATAAAACAGGAATATCGGAGGTTATTCGAAGACTGCTGAAGTTAGCCAACATTAGAGCGACTTTCCAGAAGTGAAAAACGCTACGCTCACTTTTAGTAAATTGAAAGATTCCCTCCCAGTTGAAAGGACTAGGGACTGTGTGTATAAAATTAATTGCAACGATTGCACTAAGATTTACATAGGACAAACTGCCATGGAATTGTACACTAGAAGTGGTGAGCACAACAAGAAATACGGAATACCAAAAGCTGATCAAGGACAGCTATGGCGGTACATGCGTTAGAAACAGGACACAGAATAGATCTGGAGAATGTGGAAGTTTTGAGACCGGCACTGCGATTCACACTACAGCGGCTGATAGCCGAGGCGGTGGAAATTACCGAGGATGAATAGAATCGAGGGTGTGGAACAGGCGAGCGTATGGAGAGCGGTCTTAGATAAACCGAGGTGACACGTTACTGTTTGGTTGTCAATGCGCGTAGAATCATTAGCAAAATCAGGGGGTGGAAATCCTAATGTGATCAAAGGTCAAAGAATCCCTTTTCCTTCGATAACTACCGTAGCACTAGCTCACCCACACAGACGGACGAAAAGTACAAACGACGCTCAAGAGGGATTATCATGTGAACCAGAAGCACTAGACTCTAAGCTGTACTCAATTCCATTTAGGTTTCCCCATCAACGTAACACTTGCTGAAACACTAACGCACAATATCCCTTGGCCGACACCTAACACAGATTTAGCTTGCCTTAGCTGATTGGTTCTCCTTTCGCCTTAAATCTCGACCAACCTCGTAACCCAGTCACTTGGTCTGACGAATCTTTCGTGTCAAAAGCTAAACGTTGCCCAGCAATAAATCTACCGGTTGTTATCAAACTTGCCCGAAAACGATGACTACTCAATCGGTTCCAAGAGTTTTTCAAAATAGCTTCAGGTTTGCAATACATGCCTTTTGATGTACAGAACTTCACATTGTCATCATCGCAATCAAACAAATGATAGGTATTAACAAGATCATCACCACCCACGAAGGCCAGGCTTTCAGAAGTAAGCTAGTTTAGGACAGTTGCGAATTTAGAGAAACGGTGGTTGAAACTCCAAGAAAAGCTAACCTCAACAAAACAGCTCTGTGCATCTGCACGGAACTCGCAACTGACGAACTACTACATCTTTGTTACACGGACTGTCACGGCCACTTCTCTAACAAAAGCAGATTCACCCAACTGCTTTGTAAGTCAGTGTACAGAGGGAATATTATGCATTCAAAACGATGGCGTCTAAACACCCTTCGGCAGAATACGTTGGTACTTGGCTGTGTGCAACCCGTCCAGACACCTGCCACCAAATCGTTGGAGAGCATAAGCTCGCAGCTTCCTAATTTCGAGTCAAAGTAATTGCAGGAGCCATAGGAAATTCTATATTGCGGTTTGCATGAAATCTCGATTGGAATATCCACCTGAATATGACTCCCAACTCCCGGTATTGGAGAAACTAATCCAATCAGTTTTAGGCCCATATCAGGCAGGGGCAAGGGTTTTCATCAATAAGACGAGAAACAGACAAATGAGCTATACTGGTCGAAACGAAAGCCTATTTCGAGTCACTACAACACGTCACCGAATTTCGAGTGTAAAAGTCGTTGGCGCTACTTTATGAAAATCTATTCTACTATGAAGCTTTGATCTCGGAAGGTCACCAAAGTAAAATATCAAAGAAAACGCAGTTGTGTGTGGTTGGAGGGGTAGGTTCCAGCTCTGAGAATACTTACAAACAAAGAAAATAAGGGTGGGGTACATCACGGAACATACGAGAAACGGATGCACTCGAATCGGTATTCCGGAGAGAGTTGTTCAGGATGCAATGCACACGGTCGGTGACGGAAATATCACCAGATTTAGATATACATTGGTCATGGGAATCCGGGGTGTTCTGAACGAGTGATGCGATTCGAATTAAAGTGGACAAACGATCGGAAAACAAAGGAGCACCGAGTATAAACCATGAGGGGAACTGACCAATGTCATACAGGCCAAAAATACCTGAATCACGGTCAAAAAAGGCTGTTACGAGGGTGTTACACTGTGAAGAATCTACTTTATGCAGGAATAAATCCGTACTTGTGGGTAATGAATGAGTCATGAACGTAGAATCTATCTCTTTTGATGAGGGAATATTCATCAAAGCTGTAAAAAGCCCGTCTTGGCGCACTGTGTGCTCAAGGGAGTTATGCTGAGAATATGGACTGTGAAGGAGGCTGACGGAGTCGCGCAAGTTGTGGACATCGGAGAGAAAGAACGGATTAAGCGATGGTAATTTTCGCGTACTGGGCAGAGCAGGGGCGAGGCGCTTTAACACGGAAAGTCGTCGTAAATTTTTCAAAGCTTGTGGCGAGCGGTCAGGTGGCAAGAACTACAAAGGAATAAAACATTAATGGATACAGTAGAATCACGACGTAAAAGTACAGCTGTAATTCTCGTCAGGAGAATAAAACGAGCGAACATGCTTGACCGAAACCCAACTTGTACATAGGGCGTTTACTAGGGACTGTCTTGGGAAAGCAAGTTATCTATGATTAATATCGTTTATATGAACTATAACTGCCTTAATGAGTCGATCAGAAGAGTATGATTAGAATTCCATAACCAGGGACGAGTTTGATATCCCGATCTCGCCCCATTCTAGTACCGAACTTCGCTCATAAATGACCTGTGTTGTTAGTAAAATCACCTACTAAAAACAACCGGAGTGAAAAGACATTTGGTTTTATCTAATTTGGATGTCAGTACGGAATAAACATATATAGCTGAAGCCCTGTCCGTTTTCGTGAACCAAAGGGCACAAACCGAGTAGCTGGTACCGAGTAATGAGCAGCAAACAAAAAAGTGTTGAATAACGGTATACTTTAAGTACATTGTGCACAATTTGACGAAGCAACGTGTATTGTAACGTACGTTACAAAAAGGCAACCAATGTAGCCCGAAGAGTGAACTGAACGGACGCCGCTCGAATTTTACCTTTGCCACAACAATCAATGTTATACGGTGTGTGAGCATATTCACATTCAATTTGTTTGGGTGAACTAAGTCCATGTAAAGCAAAAAAACAAGGTTAGCAAAGTTCAGAAACGAGTGAACGACCGGGTGTGCACTGTTGAGTGTTTGAGACTTATCCATGGCTAATGAGACGGGGCTGCTTTTGCACAAAGCTCTCACAAGAGAGCGCTTTCTGTCCACCCGACCAGTGTTAGAGAAAAAGGATCACTATGATTGGTTCCAGTATTCTGTTTGATTTCAGTTGATCATCTCTAGTATCATGTTCGGATAGTGCAAGCAACGCCTCAAACGGAAGCATAGTCCCGCAGAAACTATCCAAATTCATGAAAAGTCTTGATGGGTAAGACCACAACAAACCAAACAAACAAGAATAGAAGGAGCCTGTGGGATCCAATGAGGACCATGAATCGAACCACAAACGACAGAAACTTAATGGTGCTAGCTACATTCCCCACCTGGAAGAAGCAACGAGCGGTTGACGGACGATGTGTCCCAGCGAATCGAAAAGAACTCCTTTCCACTACAAACGATGGTAGAGTTCTGTAGCTGACTCTAATTAACGACTTGAGGATGAGCGGCAATGTACGTAAGTCCGTGTGCGTCCGCTTCGCCAGCACGTGGTATCAGCCCTTCTACTCCCTGAATGCGTTCAGTGGTGACACTGGAACAAAGTACTCTTCGATTACGTCTCATGCGCCTCCCAGATTGCAGAACCTTAACAGATTGTAAACCTGGACAGTGTGCAAGGCTGATGCGTAACAATACATTGCTGTCAGTCACTGCTAGGAATAGATAAATGAACAATGAGCGGTTCACACCCCTCAGCTCATTAAGAGCTAATTTCTACTCCAACAGACAACTATGGTTGGACAGGTCAA